ATGTAGGCACAAGTATGCATTAGTACATTGAATGTATTAATTATGAGGGATATGCATTACAACATGAAACATGATCATAAGTGTACATAAATGAAACCATGATATGCATGACCAAGCTAAAACATAGTAAAAACCTTAAAGAAGAATCATAAAACATTAAAATGGTCAATGCATCTTAAAACATAATGAAAACTTCATTAAACCATTGAAAGTAACTTAATTTATTTTGTGGAATATTTGTCGTTAACCTACATAGACCATGTGAGATATAACACGAAATTCAGTGTCTTGCCCCTACTAACGAGAGAGCCTCCATCTCTATATCCTCACAGTGCTGAATAAAAAATCCCAACAAAATAGTCATATTCATATTCATATCATCATACTTGGAAAAACATAATTAAGTTACTAATCCAATCTTAAGTCATCATAGAGTTGCTTCTTAAATCATGATCCATACATGTGTGAGAAAACCTTTCACCAATCATGATTTCTTAACATGTGAGAAAACCTTTCATAATTTGATTGATGCTTATCTTAAAGAAAACTCTGTTCATAAAACATCTTTTTTCATAAATCATGCATAGCTTTCATATATCATCATTGATAAGTTCATAACTTTCTTCATGAATTCATAGTCAAAATAATGAATAATGCATGGGTCCATATGAAATCAATTGGAAAATAAGTAATTGAATCAAATCATGCATAGTAAGATTGAAATCAAACAATTGAATCATAACGAATAGGATCCATGTAGAATTGAGATCAAACCCTAATCAATTTGTTGAAATTGAATTGGAAACTTGGGAGATTTTTTGGGACCCTAATCCATTGGTCAATTCCCACATACCTTGATGATAAAAGCCTAGAAAGCAAGAGAAAAGAGGAGACTTGAAGCTTGGAACCCTATCTTTCTTCCTTGAGCTTGAGAGAGAATTGGAGAGGATGAACTTGGATGAGATTTGGGGACTTTAGAGATGAGAGGGTTTGGGTAGATTTAGGAATAGAAAAGTAGTTATATGACTTAACAATTAGTTTCAAAGCGATATACTATAGGTGTAAAATACATAGGAAAAGCCCAAAATACCTGTAATAAATAACTGTCGAACAGTCCTACGGTCCTTAGAACTTTCTCTGGCCCATACTGGTCAGCCGTAGAACCAACTTTGGAAATCCAAAAATTCTTCCAAGTTCTCCGAGACCTTTCTACGGTGCGTCATCTAGTCAATGGTTCGTAACCCCTTCTGTAGAACTGCACTTCGAGTCCAAAATTTTACTAAATCTTGATTCCTTATTCGAGACTCCTTATACGACCCGTAGAACAAATATTAACCCGCCAAATCCTTCCGTAGGTTTGAGTTCTTGAATTCAATCTTTGAATCCTTTATATGAAGGTCATCTTCTGCTCGTCAAACTCTTTACAGCTCGTCTTGTCAAGTCGTAGGTCAAACTTCGGAAACATGAAATTTCCAAAACTCAACTCAAGTTCTATGATTGCCTTTCTATGTCCCGTAGGACTTTCTATTGTCATAGATTGGACTCGTAGTTCACTGATTTAGTGAAATTTTTTGTATTTTTCCTTTTCAACTTGACTTTCTAATTTTCAAGGTGTTACAATATCTCCCATTTGGGAACATTCGTCCTCGAATGAGACTCAACCTAGCATAAATAGAGTAGGAGAGAAACTAACAAACCAACATGAATACTAATCTCATCATAATGCACATAAACATGGAGAATCACCCCAAGCTAAATCATAACATCAAAAATCACGCTTTCATGATCATGCATGCATATGGAAATATGAGAACGACCAAAATGCATGTATTCAAAAGAATGAACCATAAAGAGCTAATATCCCAAGCTAGAGTAGGATCAGAGGGAAAAATATGAAGATAATAGGACATCATATCCGCTTTGGATATCCAAGTAGCACCCTCAACTAATTGATTCCTTCAAAGAGCTATCACAGAAGCAACTTCTTTATTTCTCAACTTCCAAACTTGTCGGTCTAAAATCTCAACCAGAACCTCTTCATAAGAAATATTTGTTTAACTCCCAAACCTTCCAAAGGTATAATGGATGTCAGATCTCCAACACACTTCTTCAACAATGAGACATGGAATACCGGATATATCGATGCTAAATCATTAGGTTACTCTAACTCATAAGCAACCTTACCAATACACCTCAAAATCTGATATGGGCACATATAGTGAGGATTAATCTTCCATTTACTTTCAAATATCATTACGCCCTTCATGGGTGAAATTTTTAAGTAGACTCAATCATCAACATTAAACTCAAATATTTTTCTTCTAACATCGGCATAAGACATTTTTCGACTCTCCACCGTTCCCAACCTTTCATGAATAAGTCTAACCTTTTTCATAGTCTCATGCAGCAACTCATACCCTATCGAAACAACCTCACCAACTTCAAACCAACCTATAGAAGACTTACACTTCCTACTATAGAAAGCCTAGTGTCATCCCAATGCTAGAATGATAGTTATTATTATAAGATAACTCAATAAAAAATAAATGATCATCCTAATTACCCTTGAAATCAATCACACAAGCTCTTAGCATATCCTCCGAAATTTGAAAAGTATGCTTGACTTGTTCATCGGTCTGAGGATAAAAAGTTGTGCTAAGTTTAACTTATGTACCAAGACCTTTTTTAAATGACCTCCAAAATTGGGATGTGAACTAAGTGCCACTATTGGAGATAATAGACAAGGTCACTCGATGCAACCTCACTATTTTATGAATATAAAGTTTAGCGTACTCTTTTGCTGAAAATGAAGTCCTTACGAGAAGAAAGTGAGCCGATTTCATCATTCAGTCCACAATAACCTAAAATAAATTAAACTATTGACGAGTACGAGGTAAGCCCCTAATAAGTCCATTTCAAACCTTCCAACTTCCATGTAGGAATACTAATGTTTTGAGCCAAACCTTCTAATTTTTGATGCTCAACTTTCACTTATTGACAATTTGGACATTTAGCCACAAATTCTGCAATATCCTTTTTCATCCCTTTCCACCAATAGACTTCCCACAAATCATGGTACATCTTGGTGGCTGCCCAGTGAATAGAAAACTGAGAACTGTGAGCTTTTATCAAAATCTGATCCCTCAACTCATCAACATTTTGAACACATAATTAACCTTGATTTTGAAGGATACCTCCCCCCCCCTTAGGAGAAAGCCTCAATGGCTTGTTCAAAAAAACAATTTTTGCATATCAACTAATACTGGATCAAAATCTTGCTTAGCCTTAACATATGAGACGATCGGAACCAATTTGAATAATCATACCACTTTTGTTAGAGTCAACTAAACCAACACCCAATCAGGCCAATCTATGAACATCACAAACTAATTCCTTCTTATCATCCTCAACATGAGAAACTTCCCATTAATAGTCGATAAAGAGCATTCACCACCACATTCGCCTTACTAGAATGATATAAGACATTTATGTCGTAATCCTTCAATAATTCAAGTCATCTCCTTTAGCAAAGATTTAAATCCTTTTGGGTGAATACATACTTCAAAATCTTATGGTCGGTAAACATATCTACATGAACACCACATAGGTAATGACTCCAAATCAATAGAACAAACACCACCACCACTAACTCCAAATCATGAGTCGGACAATTCTTTTCATGCACCTTCAATTGACTTGAAACATAAGCAATGACTTTCTCATGTTGCATCAAAACACATCAGAGATCAATCTATGAAGCATCATAATAAACCACAAAACCATTTGATCCTTTCGGTAATGTCAATATAGGTGGTGAAGTGAGTCTATCATTCAACTCCTAGAAACTCTTATTTCAAACTTCGAACCATAGGAATTTCACCTCCTAAGTCAGTGTCATCAAAGACGAAGAAATAAAGGAAAATATTTCTACAAACCTTCTATAGTAACCAGTTAAACCTAAGAAACTCTGTAGTTCTGAAGACGACAAAAGTCAATGCCAATTCTTGAATGTCTCAGTTTACTTAGGATCAACTTGAATACGTTCACCGGAGGCAATATGGTCAAGGAAAGAACCAGACCTCAATAAAAATTCAAATTTGCTAAACATAGCATACAATTCATGATCCTTGAGAACTTGCAACACAATCCTCAAATGTTCAAGATGATCATCCTTAGTTCAATCAAAATATCATCAATAAACACAATCACAAACATTTCAAGATATTGCTTAAAGACGTTACTTGTGAAATGCATGAATGCCACCGGACATCAGTCAAACCAAAAATTACCACTAAGAACTCATAATGACCATATCGAGTTTGAAAAACCAACTTCAAAATGTCACTCTCAATTGGTGATAACTCGACCAAAGCTCAATCTTAGAGAAGTAACTCACTATTTGGAATTGGTCAAAAAATTCACCTATCCTTGGAAAAAGATACTTATTCTTTTTTGTAACCTTATTCAATTACCGATAGTCAATGCACATTCAGAGAGAACCACCTTTCTTTCGAACAAACAAGACTGGAGCACCCCATGGGGAGATACTCTGTCTAACAAAATACTTATCTAACAAATCCTTCAATTCATCTTCTTAAATTCTGTCAGGGTCATACGGTAAGGAGAAATAAAGATAGGCTCTATATCTGGGAGAAGATAAATATCAAAGTCTATTTCCCTTTTGAGAGGAATACCAGAAAGATCATCGGGAAATACTTTCGAAAACTCATTTACAATAGAAAGTAACTCAAGAGTAGAGGTTTTAGATTTTGTATCCCTAACTCGGACAAAATGATAAATGAAACCCTTAGAGATCATCTTCCTAGCCTTTAAGCAAGATATAAACTGACCCTTAAGAACATAGTTTCCCTCTTTCCATGATATGATAGGTTCGTGTAGAACCTTGAAGGTGACCAATTAAGTCGTACAATCTATGGATGCATAACATGCATGAAGCCAATTCATCCCAAGAATAATATCAAAATCAAACATATGAATCTCTACAAGATCAACATGAGTAACTCTATGAGAAACAAAATAGGACAATTTTTATAAACTCTTTTAGCGACAATAGAATCACCAGTATGAGTAGAGACATGAAATGGATTATAAAGGATGTCGGGATCAACATCAAATCTCATGGCCACATAAGGAGTAACAAATGACAACGTAGCACCCAGATCAAGTAAAGCATATGCATCAAGTTGAAATTCTTTCAACATATCGGTCACCACATTCGGAGAATCGTTGTGATGTTGTTGAGTCTGAAGAGCATAAAATTTGTTTTGCATTGGAGCACTAGAACCGAAACTAATAGGATAAGTTTTCCTATCATCCCTTCCCTTAGTAGCAAGAAATGGGAAATCTCTCATCTTATGAACACTCTTTCCACAATTAAAGCATCCATCTCTATCGGCCAAACATTTGTCATCATGATTCTTGCCACACCTTGTCCAAGTAGGCATCAAAGATCCACCACTATTTCCTCCTTGAGGCTTAGAATTAGACACTCTATCTTTGTAGAACTTAGGGGTAGGATCATTAGAAGAACCTTTACCGGGAAACCTTTGCCGAAATTTATAACGGCCTTGTCCACCGAACCTAGAATGAGAAAAGTTGTAACATCTTGAAACTAGAAAGAACTAGAAGGAAGTTTAAAATCTAGAAATGGTTGTTTTTGGGAAAAGTTTAAAAATCTGGAAATTTGGTAAAGGTGTTAAAGAGAGTTTTTGGTCAACTTCAAACGACCATAATTCCTAGCTCAGGATGAGTTAGGTGTTATTCTTGATACGGTTGGAAAGCCCTTGGAATGATCTTTCCAACACCGCCAAGTTTGCATGATTTCGATTTTGTAAGAGTAAGTTATGCCCTTCGGAAGTTGGGTTGTTCAATTAAGGAAAGTCCAATCCGGATTTAGAAGGGTAGTTTGGTCTTTTCCTTGCCCAATTATTTTAATCCATTTTTAGGAGTTTAATATCGGTCAAATCAGATTTTAGTCAGGTTTAGAAATTGGAAATTTACGCTAGGGCGTGGAGAAAGGAGAAAAGAGGAGAAAGAAGAAGAAAGGGCAAGATTCATCAAGATCGATCCATTTAGCTGTGGTTTTCGCCAAAGATTTATTCCTACCAGGTATGTGAGATCACATAGCATTGGGTTAATTCACCCACGTGTCAATCATGATTTATTTCAGCGAATTTAAGTTATTGAAAGCTTAGAACTTGAGTTATTGATGGGTTTGTTGAAGTTCCATTAAATTCTTGTTTCGTTGAATTGGTTGAAGAGTTGTTTGATCCGAACCCGTGATTTGGTTTGATTTGAGTAGAATCTGATGTACTCTGAACATTTAATCGATTCTAAGTGTTTGGGAAAGGAAACCATGGAGTTTAGAGGGTTTAGAGATGAAAAATGAAGAAGAAATTTCGTCGAACAAAATTGGGAAGTGATAGCACGTCGCGAAGCTGGTTCCCAGAAGTGAGAATTTTCATTTCACGTCGCAGAGCTGTCATGGAATCCTCTGCCTTAAAAGTCATTTTCGAAACTAAATTTTAAAAGTTTCTCCGCGTCGCGGACCCACCCTCAGATATTGATTTTCGGTCTTTTTCTCATGTTTAGTTACCTAAAATCATTCCTAAACATCATGAGACCTTTCCAATCACAAATCACAATCCTAGAATCCATAATTCAATTCAAGGACCAGTTAAGAATCAAGTCAAGAGAAGTCAAAAGTCAAGTTAAGAGAAGTTCATAAAGTTTTCCAAAAGCCTTTTGCAAATGTTTTAACCTTGTTTTAAGACTTAAGTTTTGAGTTTAGTAAAGAGTAAAGTTGAAGTTCATATCTTCAAAAGTATATGGGGACTAAGTATTCCCAAAGAGATTTAAAATGATTTCAGATTTAATTAAGAACAAAAACTGAGATTTCCAAAGAGCCTTCAGGCTAGTTTTCAGAAAAGAGTAATCGCTTTCTAAATGAAGCAAGAAGGGAAACTTTGATTTCCAAGATAGCCTCTGAGCTAAGGTTTTAAGCCCTAATCTCAAATCACAGAAGAAGTATGTTTTAAACATAAAGAGCTACTATCATATTTTGGGAGTAGTATTGAGCGCCGTTATGGGGACGAGCTTGAGTTTAGATAACTCATGTCTCCATAAACCATATAGCCATCATGGGTAGAAAATGGTCATAGACTAGTGGATCCACTTAGTAGTTCAAGTCCTATACATGTGGCAAGGTATAGGATGCGCTGGCAGCGTGAGGAAGATTGTTGTATCATCACAATAGCTCTTATGTGATGGTTGTCGGTTAGAGAAACTCCCACAGCAGTACTTTAATTTTTATATACATCAGTTTATGTGTATTTTTACATACATCTAAGAGTTATTTGAATCTTTGCATACATACAGAGTTGACATCACGTTTTAAACAACTTTTCTTTATAGTGCACTTGTTTTAAATTGCTTTATATTGAAATGAGTTCAGTTATGTTGAGTTGAGTTGAGCTAGGTAAGTTCTTCACTTTCTTTTAGATTCTTCTCAATCCTATGTTGTGTTTAGCATTCGAACTTGCATATTCGTACATTCAATGTACTGATGCCTATTGGCCTGCATCATATTATGATACAGACACATGTAACTTGGATCGGCATCTGGTGCATTGTTGATCCAATTGAGCACTTCAGAGTCAGTGGTGAGCCTCCTTGCATTCCGGAGGACTCCTTTATTGCTTTTAGTTCTTTTTGGTATTTCATTTGTTAGGATGATAGGGGGTCCTGTCCTGACATCCATCTCAGTTGTTTTATAGGCTTCATAGACAGTCAGATGTTAGTTCTTTAGTCTTTTCATTGTCATTATTCCATGTTGAGACTTGAGTTTGCCTTAATGGCCAGTTGAATGTTCTTTTATAACATTCTAGTTTATTATATAAACTTATTTTGTTGCGTTTAAGTCTTCCGCTGAGTAAGTAAGCCAGGATAGGGGTTCGCTTGGGCCAGCAATAGTTCTCGAGTGCCAGTCCCGCAGGGTGTAGGCTCGGGGCGTGACAAACTTGGTATCAGAGCCACGTTTCAAGAGTCCTAGGGAGTCTATGAAGCCGTGTATATAGAGTCCTAGTTATCAGTGTGAAGCGCGTCACATCTATAATTAGGAGGTTGCAATATTTAGGAACTATCTCACTTCTTTCACACTCATTTCGCTCGTTATAGTTTGATCTCTAAAAGGTTTCCTTCTAATTCGTGCTTGCGAGTATTTTCAGATAGTCATGCCTCTACGAAGAGCTATTAGAGGTAGCCCTGCTAGGCGAAATGTTGGGAGCAAGGGGTACCTAATGCACCCGAGATGCAACCTCAAGGAGAAGTTACTAATGTTGAGTTCAAAGAGGCAATTAAGATGCTGAGTCAAGCTGTGACTAACCAGGTTGGTCAGCAAAGGGGAGATCGACAGGAAGGAGCTGACACTTCAAGAATTCGTGAGTTCTTGAGGATGAACCCTCCAAGTTTCACGGGTTCGAGCACTACTGAGGATTTGGAGAACTTCATTGAGGAGTTGAAGAAGGTATTTGAGGTTATGTATGTTGTTGATACTGAGCGAGTTAAACTAGCTGCATATCAACTGAAGAATGTTGCTAGGACTTGGTTTGACCAGTGGAAGGAGGGTAGAGCTGAGAATGCACCACCTGCGAGTTGGGCTTGTTTTGAGGAGGCTTTCTTGGGGCGTTTCTATCCCCGAGAACTAAAAGAGGCTAAGGTACGAAAGTTCCTCACAATTAAGCAATATTGTTTGAGTGTTCATGACTATGGGTTTAAATTCACCCAACTGTCTCGCTATGCTCCGAAAATGGTTGCGAACATGATGAGTAGAATGAGTCTATTTATTGCTAGGTTGTCCCGTCTATCAAGCAAAGAGGGTTGGGCAGCAATGCTTATTGGGGACATGGACATATCAATGTTGATGGTCTATGTGCAGCAAGTAGAGGAAGATAAGCTAAGGGATAGAGAGGAATTCAAGAACAAGAGGGCTAAGATAGGGAATTAGTTCGGGCAACTAGCTTCATGCATGTTATGCCTCAGTTGATTGTAGAACTCGAGTAATCAAGTTTCAATTTCCAAATGAGTCAGTCTAAGAGTGGAAAAGCAGCTCAGCAGTGCCTTAGGGTCGTTTCATTTCGTACATTCAGGCAAGGAAGTTAGTTTCTAAGAGGTGTGTCTATCACTTAGTCCGAGTTAATGACTCAAGTTTTGAGGTACCTCCTATTCAGTCACTTCCAGTAGTAAAAGAGTTTCCAGAAGTCTTTCCAAATGATCTTCCTGGAGTCTCTCCTGAGAGAGAGATAGACTTCCGTATAGATCTTCTTCCAAATACTCGTCTGATATCTATTCCGCCATATAGAATGGTACCAGCAGAGTTGAAAGAGCAATTAAATAATCTTTTAGATAAGGGTTTTATTCGACCAAGTGTCTCACCTTGGGGCGCTCCAGTCTTAATTGTGAGAAAGAAAGATGGTTCCCTTAAAATGTGTATAGATTACCGTCAGTTGAACAACGCTACCATCAAGAACAAGTATCCTCTTCCAAGGATTGATGATCTTTTCCATCAGCTTCAGGGTGCTTCTTGTTTCTCAAAAATCGACCTCGGATCAGGTTACCATCAGTTGAGAGTAAGGGAATGTGATATTTCAAAGACAGCTTTCAGGACCCGTTATGGTCATTATGAGTTTATGGTCATGTCGTTCAGTTTAACCGATGCACCTGCAGCGTTCATGGACCTTATGAATAGAGTATTCAAACCTTATTTAGATATGTTTGTTATCGTCTTCATTGATGACATACTAATCTATTCAAGGAATGAAGAAGATCATGCTAGTTATCTCAGAATAGTTCTTCAGACTTTGAAAGATAAAGAGTTATATGTTAAATTCTCTAAGTGTGAATTTTGGCTTAAGTCTGTGGCATTCTTAGGCCATATTATGTTTGGAGAGGGGATTAAAGTTGATACTCAGAAAATTGAGGCAATGCAGAATTGGCCTAGACCCACATCTCCAATTGATAATAGGAGTTTCTTGGGTTTGGCTGGCTATTACAGAAGGTTTGTAGAGGGGTTCTCGTCTATTTCATTCCCTTTGACCAAATTGACTCAGAAGACAGTGAAGTTTTAATGGTTTGAAGCTTGTGAGAAAAGCTTTCAGGAATTGAAAAAGAGGTTGACTACTGCCCCAATTTTAACCTTACCATAAGGTACTCAAGGTTTTGTGGTCTACTGTGATCCATCTAGAGTTGGTTTGGATTGTGTCTTAATGCAGAATGGAAATGCTATAGCTTATGCCTCCAGACAGTTGAAAGTTCATGAGAAGAACTACCCAACCCATGACTTAAAGTTGGCTGCTGTAGTATTCTCTTTGAAAATATGGCGTCATTTCTTGTATGGTGTGCATGTTGATGTATTCACTGATCACAAGAGTCTTCAATATGTGTTTACTCAGAAAGAGCATAATCTCATACAAAAAAGGTAGTTAGAATTACTCAAGGATTATGACATGAGTATTCTTTATCACCCAGGTAAGGCTAATGTTGTTGTTGATGCCTTGAGCAGGTTGTCTATGGGTAGTACTGCCCATGTTGAGGAAGAAAAGAGAGAGTTAGCGAAAGATGTGCATAGACTTGAACGCTCAGGAGTTCGACTAATGGATTCCACAAAAGGAGGAGTAGTGGTGTTGAATGGGGCAGAATATTCATTAGTGTCAGAAGTGAAAGAAAAGCAAGACCACGATTCCATTTGCTTGAATTGAAGGCAAATATTCATAAGTAAAAAGTATTAGCTTTTGAACAAGTGGGAGATGGTGTATTGAGATATCAAGGTAGATTGTGTGTACCTATGGTGGATGGACTCCAAGAGAGGATTATGGAGGAAGCTTATAGCTCCAGATATTCCATTCATCCGAGTTCCACAAAGATGTATCGTGACTTGAGAGAGGTTTATTGGTGGAATAGCATGAAGAAGGGAATTGCAGAATTTGTCATTAAGTGTCCAAATTGCCAACAAGTGAAAGTAGAGCACCAAAGGCCCGGTGGCTTAGCTCAGAAGATAGAACTTTTGGAATGGAAGTGGGAGATGATCAATATGGATTTCATCACAGGTTTACCAAGGTCTCATAGACAACATGATTCTATTTGGGTGATTGTCGACAGAATGACAAAATCAACCCACTTTTTGCCGGTTAAGACTACCCATTCAGTAGAGGATTATGCCAGGTTATATATTCAGGAGGTGGTAAGACTTCATGGATTCCCTGTTTTGATTATATCAGATAAGGGTGCACAATTTTGGAAGTCATTCCAAAAAGGCATGGGTTCAAAAGTGAATTTAAGTATTGCCTTTCATCCTCAAACTGATGGGCAAGCAGAGCGCACTATTCAGACTTTAGAAGATATGTTGAGGGCTTGTGTCATTGATTTCAAAGGAAATTGGGATGATCACCTACCTCTCATTGAGTTTCCTTACAACAACAATTACCACTCTAACATCCAAATGGCTCCTTATGAGGCTCTGTATAGGAGAAGATGCAGATCTCCTATTTGATGGTTTGAAGTTGGTGAAGTTGGGTTGATAGGACCAGATTTAGTTCACCAAGCTATGGAGAAGGTGAAAGTGATTCAAGAGAGGTTGAAAACGGCACAGAGTCGTCAGAAATCCTACACTGATGTTAGGAGAAGGGAGTTAGAGTTCGAAGTAAATGATTGGGTATATCTCAAAGTATCACCCATGAAGGGAGTTATGAGGTTTGGTAAGAAGGGGAAGCTTAGTCCTCGATAAATTGGACCTTATAGAATAGCCAAGAGGATTGGCAAAGTAGCTTATGAGTTTGAGCTACCACAAAAGTTAACAGTGGTTCATTCGATATTTCACATCTCCATGTTGAAGAAGTGCATGTGCGATCTTTCATTGATCATACCAATTGAAAATATTGGGATCAAGGATAGCTTATCTTATGAAGAGATTCCTGTTCAGATTCTAGATCGCCAAGTTCGCAAGTAGAGAACAAAGGAGGTACCATTAGTCAAAGTCCTTTGGAGGAACCAATTTGTTGAGGAAGTTACTTGGGAAGCTGAAGGGGATATGAAGAAGAGATATCCACATCTCTTTGAATTCGAAGAAAGTACAGATCAAGGTACTAATTTTCTTCTTAGTGCTCTTTAAATTATAATATGCGTAGAAGGGTAGTTTGGCCTTTTCCTTGCCCAATTATTTTAATCCATTTTTAGGAGTATAATATGGGTCAAATCAGATTTTAGTCAGTTTTAGAAATTGGAAATTTACACTAGAACATGGAGAAAGGAGAAAAGAGTAGAAAAAACAAGAAAGGGCAAGATTCATCAAGATATATCCATTTAGCTATGGTTTTCGCCAAGGATTTATTCTTACCGGGTATGTGAGATCACATAACGTTGGGTTAATTCTCCCATGCACCAATCATGATTTATTTCAGCGAATTTAAGTTATTGAAAGCTTAGAAATTGAGTTATTGATGGGTTTGTTGAAGTTCCATTAAATTCTTGTTTCGTTGAAGAGTTGTTTGATCCGAACCCGTGATTTGGTTTGATTTGAGTAGAATCTGATGTACTTTGAACATTTAATCGATTCTAAGTGTTTGGGAAAGGAACCCATGGAGTTTAAAGGGTTTAGAGATGAAAAATGAAGAAGGAATTTCATCGAACGAAATTGGGAGGTGGTGGTGCGTTCACGGAGCTGGTTCCCAAAAGTGGGAATTTTCGTTTTGCACCGTGGAGCCATCACGAAGTTCTTTGCCTAAAAAGTCATTTTTAAAACTAAATTTTAAAAGTTTCTCTGTGTCGCGGACCCACCCTCAGATATTGATTTTCGGTCTTTTTCTCATGTTTAGTTACCTAAAATCATTCGTAAACATCATGAGTCTTTCCAATCACAAATCACAATCCTTGAATCCATAATTCAATTCAAGGACCAGTTAAAAGTCAAGTCAAGAGAAGTTAAGAGTCAAGTTAATAGAAGTTCATAAAGTTTTCCAAAAACCTTTTGCAAACGTTTTTACCTTGTTTTAAGACTTAAGTTTTGAGTTCAGTAAAGAGTAAAGTTGAAGTTCATTTCTTCAAAAGTATATGGGGACTAAGTATTTCCAAAGAGATTTAAAATGTTTTCACGTTTAAATAAGAACGAATACTGAGATTTCCAAAGAGCCTTCGGGCTAGTTTTCAGAAAAGTGTAATCGCTTTCTAAATAAAGCAAGAGGGGAAACTTTGATTTCCAATATAGCCTTTGAGCTATATTTTTGAGCACTAATCTCAAATCACAGAAGAAGTATGTTTTAAACCTAAAGAGTAGTATCATATTTTGGGAGTAGTATTGAGCACCGATATGGGGACGAGCTTTAGTTCAAATAACTCACGTCTTCATAAACCATGTAGCCATCATAGGTAGATAAGGGTCATACTTTTTAGATGAATCCTTTTCTCATAGACTAGTGGATCCACTTAGTAGTTTAGGTATAGGATGCGCTGGCAGCGTGAGGAAGATCGTTGTATCATCACAATAGCTCTTATGTGATGGTTGTCGGTTAGAAAAACTTCCACAATAGTACTTGTATTTTTATATACATTAGTTTATCTGTATTTTTACATATATCTTAGAGTTATTTGTATCTTTGCATACACACAGAGTGGACATCATGTTTTAAATAGCTTTTCTTTATATTGCACTTGTTTTAAACTGCTTTATATTGAAATGAGTTCATTTATGTTAAGTTGAGTTGAGCCAGGTAAGTTCTTTAGTTTCTTTTAGATTCTTCTCAAGCCTATGTTGTGCTTAGCATTCCAACTTGCATACTCGTACATTCAATGTACTGATGCCAGTTGGCCTGCATCGTATTATGATACAGACGCAGGTAACTAGGATCGACATCCAGCGCATCGTTGATCCAGTTGAGCACTTCAGAGTCAGTGGTGAGCCTCGTTGCATTTTGTTGGACTCCGTTATTGCTTTTAGTTCTTTTCAGTATTTCATTTGTTAGGATGATCGGGGGTCCTGTCCCAACATCCATCTTAGTTGTTTTAGAGGCTTCATAGACAGTCAGATGTTTGTTCTTTAGTCGTTTCATTGTCATTATTCCATGTTGAGACTTGAGTTTGCCTTAATGGCCAGTTGAATGTTCTTTTATAACATTCTAGTTTATTATATAAACTTATTTTTGTTGAGTTTAAGTCTTCCGCTGAGTAAGTAAGCCAGGCAAGGGATTCGCTTGGGCCAGCAATGGTTCTCGAGTGCCAGTCCCACGCAGTATGTAGGCTCGGGGCGTGACAAAAGTCACCATTACCCACACAAACCCTCTTGGACTCCCTTGCCCTCTCTTTGTATTTCTCTTCTTCAATTTTTTTTACATGTATCATCAAACAGGACACATCCATATCCTTCATCAAAATGTGGTTCGTCATTTCTTGACAACCAAAGAGAAAACACTCGACATAAATTTACTCACTCTTGCTCTAGAATCAACAACTATAGTTGGTGCATACTTAGACAACTGGGTGAACTTCAATGCATACTCCTTCACACTCATATTTCCTTGTCAAATATTAATGAACTCAAACAAATTTGCCTCCCTCGTCAAAAGATAAAAGAAACAATCAAGAAAACCTCCATTGAATTTCTTCCAATCAAGAGGATCCACATCAACAACCTTCTCACTTTTCCATTGTTCAAACCAAACTTGAGCAATATCCTTTCGTTGATGAGTGACCAATTTCTCTTTCTCTACAGTAGACAATCCCATAATTCCCACTATCTTATACACCTTATTAATGAACTCTTGAAGATCCTCATCAACTTTTGACCCATGAAACTCCGGAGGATTCGTTCTAGTAAAGTCCTTTATTCTTTTCATCTTCGTACCTACATTTAGGTTCATGGGATCCATGACTTCTTTATTAGCTTGGGTTATCATATCTTGAGCCAAAATTTAGTAAGAGACTCAGAATTCGACATGAGGCACTTGCTCGGCCAACAAGTCGATCAGAGCCTGGGAACCTCAGGCTCCTCATTGTCGCCCACATTCCTTCTCACATAAGCTCTTCGAGGGGCCTTCTTGATAAACATCAGACAAAATTTAGGAGAATGATCTTTATAGAGATACACTTTATGACACGATTGAAAGAAGTGAAGTTTCCAAAACATTTTGTAGCCTTCTATTCATAAACTTAACGAGCTTCACTACCAAACGGGACCTGTCGAACATATAAGGACCTTTTCTAAAACCTTGTACTTTGATACCAAAATTTTCACGACCGAAAGTACACCCTAGGAGTGACATGGCATATAAGACTCTGACAGTCCCTACACAAGCCACTTGAAATGCATAAAACATAATATAATAGATGAAAAATTTAGCAATAGGTCTCATATCATAAAAGAGTGTTACAAAAAAATGGAAGTCTACTCATAGTCTTGACAAGACAATCTAATACATCAAAAGAGTTGTTGGGATGTAACCCATACACCACATACAACGTTTGAAAATTAAAGACATAAGAAATCATAGTAAGGATAAACATTCCTCTGAATATGAGGACTTACCCAGTCTTCAACGGTCAACAAATTCAAATTGCCACGAATGGAAGAAGAAGAAGCATCAAACCCTACACTATGCTACAATCTAGGCAGAAGTATACATTAGTACATTTAAGTATGAGGGATATGCATAAGAATATGAAATATGATCATTAGGGGACAGAAAGGAAACATGATATGTACAACCAAGCTAAAATATAGTACAAAACCTTTGAGAAAAATCATAAACATGAACATAGTCAATGCATCTTAAAATATAATGAAATCTTCATAAACCTCTAAAAGTAACATAGTTTATTTTATAAGATATTACCGTTAATTGACATAGACCATGTGCATTATAACACGAAATCCAATGTCTTACCCCCACACTGAAAAAATTTGTCCTACTTTCCAAGTTAAGGACCATAAACTTCTAGCTTAGGTGGATCCACTAGCTATGTCTTTCTAAGATAAATCATACAGAGGCACGTAGTTTGGGACAAGGAGATTGCTACTAGAGACATGTCCTCTGTCTCGATATCCTCTCGGTGCTAAGTAAAAAATCCCAACGGAATAGTCATATTCATATTTATATCATCATACTTGGAAAAGTACAATTAGGTTACTAATCCAATCTTAGTTCATCATTGAGTAGCTCCTTAAATCATGATCCATACGTGTGTGAGAAAACCTTATACCAATCATAATTTCTTAATATGTGAGAAAGACTTTAACAATTTCATTGATGCTTATCTTAAAGCAACCTTAGTGCATAAAATATCTTTTTCATAAATCATCACTAAAGCTTCTGAATTATCATCACATCAGTAGGTGTAGAAAGCAAATCTTGGTATTGGCTTATTGAAAATATCAAAGAGATTTCTTAGACAAATCTTTTTTCCTGCCATACCTGATCATAAGTTCATAGCTCTCTTCATAAACTCATATCTTTATAAATTCATAGTCAAAATCATGAATAATGCATGGGTACATATGAAATCAATAAAAACATGTAATTGAATCAAATCATGCATAATAAGATAGAAATCAAACAATTGAATTATAATAAATAGGACCCATGGAGAATTGAGATCAAACCCTAATCAATTTGATGAAATTGAGTTACAAACTTAGAGATATTTTGGGATCCAATGGATGAATTAAATCCATTGGTGAATTCCCACATATATTGATGATCAAAGTCTATCAAGCAAGAGAAAAGAGGGGACTTAAAGCTTGAAACTCTAGCTTTCATCCTGGAGCTTGAGAGAGAATAGGAGAGGATGGACTTAGATGGGATTTGAGGATTTTAGAGAATGGGAGGGTTTGGGTAGATTTAGGAATAAAAAGGTAGTTATAGGACTTAGAATCAGGGTCAAAATTACATAATATAGGTATAAAATGCCTAGGAAAAGACTCAAAGACCCTTAATAAATAACTATCGAATAGTCCTACGGGTTGGACCTACGACCTATACTGGACAACCGCAGAACCCAACTTCTTCAACCCAAAAATTCTTCCAACTTCCACATGACCTTTCTACTGTCCATTCTCTGGTCCACGGTCTGTAGACCCCTTCCATAGAACCCCATTTCGAGTCCAAATTTTCACTAAGTTTGGATCCCTTCTACGAGATCTCTTCTATGACCCGTAGAACAAACAACGACCCATCAAATCCTTCCCGTAGGTCTAAGGTCTTAAAACTAATCTCTGAATTCTTTCTACGAAACTCATCTATGGCTCATCAAACTCCTGACGACTCGTCATGTCAAGTCATAGATCAAACTTCAAAAACATAAAATTTCTAAAACTCAACTCAACTTCTACGATTTTCTTTCTGTGGCCCGTAGGACTTTCTACAGTCCGTATATTGGACTCGTAGCTCACTACTTTAGTGAATATTTTTGTATCTTTATTTTTCAACTTGACTTTCCAATTTCCGAGGTGTTATAGTAAAATCCTTGTAGGAGACTTTGAAGCAATTTCTTGTGCTAAATCATTTGGGTAAGCCGTTGTGACTCTAAAACTTCAATTTTACTTTATCATTTATGAATTTAAACATCAAAACTTGATGTTTTAATTGGTAAATGACAAGATTTTTCAAGAACATGAGTTCTAAAATGGTGATTGTGAACTGATTCTGGCCCTTTTTCTAAATAATTTTCACTAATGATTTCCAAATTTCTTGGGTGACACTTTCAAGTAAATATTTTTTCATATTCAAACTTTATTTCTCGAATGGAATTTTTGAGTTGATTTGACCCATTTTTCAAAATGTATGTTTTGAGTGTTGTTATTTTAAGAATCTTATTGTGATTACTTGATTGAATTAGATTGTGTGGCTTTGAACATTGTTCAAAATGGGATGACTCAAGTGTTGGATTAACTTTTGATTGAATTTGAGGCAATTGATCTTCTAAACATTGTAAAACTAGTTGAATTGTTTATTTTCCTTCATTGTGTATTAAGGAGTAATGTGAATGAGGTGATAGGTTCAATTATTCTACTTGATTGATATTAATGAATAAAAAGGAGATTAATGAAAATACAATATGTTGATCATAATACTTTGTGAATTGTCTTGTGGTGGACCTTTAAGTGTTGATTGAGGAAATGTTTTGATGACATTATTGTGGACTTGAATTTTTTGAGTTACTGTCTCTTCCTTGTGGTGTAAAATTGATTATTTACATTGATTTATGTGCACCATGATGAAATATGTGATGATTATTGATGCCGAGGTCATTTTCAGCAGGTGTTATTGATGTCTCAATCATTTCTGACAAGTGCTACTGATGATGAGGTCATTTTCAGCGAGTGTTACTAATGATGAGGTCATTACCGATGAGTTCATGAACTATGGGCGGTTTCCATGATTTCCGATTGATATCATGCATAATAAATCTTTGGAATTTGTGTTTGATGTACTTGATTATTGTGCCTTGATGAACTTGATACTTGTGATTGATCTACTTAAAACTTTTGATTTTCATACTTGATATTTGATACCTTTAACCAAGCCTTTCCGTTCCGAAATCGAGAAAGATCACTCTGAAAAGTAAGCCCTTTCTTATTATACGACTATTCCACAATGATTATGAGAACTTGTGAAGTGTGTATTATGAACTGTTAGGTTGGACTTATTTCTATGTAGGTTGTAGTTTAAGGAGGTTCGATTGGATGAAAGGAGTACCGTGTTGTTTTAACTTGTTTAGTAGGTTAGTTGCTGAGTGTCGTGTTGTTTGATACTCACTCATTGCTTCTACACTTATGTAGATTCTGAGTCAGGTACCGTGTGGTATCCTTTCTCCTTCATCTATTTTCAAGGCTTACGGAGGATACAGTGAGAGGTAGTTATTTGACATCCCGACGGGCACTCTTAATCCTTATTCTTTGCTTTGTTCTATTTGAGTAACAAAGACATTGTGACTTGTAATTATCTTTCAATTTCATACTTTATACATCAATGACTTGTACATGTGGCAATCAAGTTTTGGGGTTATATTAGAATGACTAAGATTTCTGCTCTTATGTTATTATTGTTTTACTTTCAGCATTTCTTTCGTATTATTGGGTTTGAGGTTGACTTGTCTTGGTGGGAATAGACAATTGTCACCACGTTCATTTTTGGATTTTGACAGTTTCACATAGAGAAAAAATGATAAAAATATTTCATTGATTCTCTTGTAAACTAAGAAAATGGCATAAAGAGTTTTTTTTCCAAATGGGTCTTAGAATCGTTTCTCAAAAATTATTTACCTTTTAATGTCCCAAAAGGTGCAGAGTAAATTTGTGATGTAGTAAATAAATGAGATTTTCATTAAATCTCCAACTGTGAAATTTCAGTTGAAATTTTTCTTTGCAAATTGTCAATCCCCCCCTAACTATAGATCAGATCCACTAGACAAGAAACTCAATTCCGCACTGCTGCTGAGTCGTCGGACTTATCCACCAAGGGATTCGTGGAATTTCTGTGGATTGCATTGGGGGAAATCTACCAAATCAACCAATAAATGATCCAATTGTGAAACACTATGATTTATGGGTTGTGTGTGGTGCAAATCTAAAAACTTAAAAAATTCTTGTCATGAAAGTGTATCTTGAGTTACCGTGAATATATATTGGGGAAGAACACAAAATAAACAGAAAAAATGATTAAAAGTTCTTGAGGGCCTATAATAAAATTCACATATTTTAAAAACAGTTAACATATCAAGAAAACGATGTTTAAAATTTTAATTATATACCTGTAGCGACCCTTTCGGAAGGATACTACCACTTTAACAAGAAATTTAATTTAATACATGCGACATTTAAAAGAAATTAACGGAGGGC